TCACAGGTCCAAATCATCTTGAGAACGCCAGTTATGAAATCTCTGTGGTGGATTCTAATTCTCTAATCTTTCTTTTCAAACATGCTCCTGATGTGGCGAAGGAATTACAGACTGATTTAGATCTGTCTTTTGAAATTGCAAATTTGTCTCGCCAAGAGAACTGGCTGGTATGTTGCTGTAGATTAGAAAAAAGTGTGACTAATAGGACTTTGACCTTTCAATTTATGATGAATTTTAAAAAAACGTTTATTAAACACAAAATTGAAAGTTTATTTGACTCAAGTTCATGGACTTATTTATTACAATTAAACTAAGAAAGTTTAGGAAATTAATTTGTAGTTCATTTTTAAAATAGACTTGAAATTCAAGAAACCAAATCGTAATCAAGACTATACCATAGGCCTTAGGATTAATGTGAGTGGTATAAAATTTTGGATCCGCTTTCCTTCCGCAGGCACTTTTTCCTGTTTCCTTCTTGTTCACAAGAAGTTTGAAGTTCCCTGCCAAAGAATCAACTGCAAAGCTAGATTTATATTTCCCTTACTTGATTGCCAGTAAGCCACAAACAATTTCGGATAATGGATCTCGAAGGGTTTACTTGGAACTTTCTCTAGGGTATGTAACTCAATTCTTTTTTTACCCCAGGCTAGAATCCAGGACACAGCTATGATTTGAAATATAATTTACATGGTTAATATGTGGAACACTATATGAGCTGATCCTAGTCGACAATATATTCATGCACTGTAATGAGTTGTGAACATGCTATTTGTTCTTTTTCTTTTTCTTGCAAGAATGAACTAAGATAATATAAAAAAGCTATAGTAGTTTGTTTCTTGCAGCCCCTTTGCTTTTAGAACCTAAAATCGTATAGGCAGAATGACTTTCATATCGTGTAGGATTGGGAATCTGTGTTCGTATGTGGTAAAATAGCAAAAATAAAATTTGTCCACAATACCTTCCAGGTGGATTAAGCATGTTAGTTCTTTTGATACTAAGCTTGGTTTTGTTTCTGACGGCCTATCCTTCTCCTAGTTCCTTGGAGGAGATTTGGGTCACAGTTCTAAACATCACTGGGCCTTTATCAAGTTGGTCATTTGCAGACAATAAGCTTCCAGGTTAGTTCAGGGCCCTGTCTCGCATCTTATGTCCATTTTCTTTCTGACATGAATTGTTCTCCTTACAAATTGGAACAGCACCCGAGACGCTCAACGGTGGGCCACCCTCATACATATGTAGACTTAGTGGAGCCAGCCACAGAAACTGGACATTTTGGCTAGAGGTACAACAAGCTCACACATCGTACTGGTCACATTGCGTTCTTTCTTCCTCATATTTTGCTTTTATCCAATATATACTAACCAAGGATTTTTGCCAATACATTTAGTGAACATGATCTCTTGTTCTAATTGAGAAACTCTCACTATAAGCAAGTTCATCAATATTTCACGATTAGCCATCTTCTCGTCTAGCCAAACTAGTTGAGGCATATATCTTCAATCAATAGGTTGGATGTTTGAATACCCCGCTCCAAAAACTAGCTACCTTCTTCATGCACTTTAGTAATTTTCTTCTAATTAGCTGTACAAGCTTGCTTACATTCTGAGAAGATGCAACTTAATACCGAACATTTTGCTATTATGACGAGTCATGAAGTGAAATTTGCTATAAGATGCAAGTGTGTTAGACCTGTTTATATAGGCTCATGCTCATCTCTCTGGGAAATGTAGGCTAACAATGACGAAGAATTGAGAATCAACGTCGCAGTACTGGATCAACAGTTGACAAGTGAAGTAAAGAAGCTGAAAAGTCTTTTCCCAGAATGGGTTGATGTCATTGCATATTCCAGCTTCATGTCTGCTTACACCTTCTGATTCATCATCCTCGCCCGGGTGCGGTATGGATCCACAAGGGTTATGGCTGATCGAATCGGGCTCAGGTTCAGGTTTAACTTATTTGATGTTTCTTTCTCCACAATAGCAGTTCTTCCACCCCTCCATCCAACCAGGCTCATAGGAAAATATTTAAGAGCTTGATTAGTTTGATTGTAGGATAGCTGTGATAGTCTGTTTTCTTTAGTAATGAGAACTGTTTCTCCATATGGATTTGAAAACTTTAGATACTTGTAATGTTCCAGTGTTTGAAGCAAGGATGGGACGTTGATTTCTTAACTAATTCAACTATATTTAATTTTTAGTGTTAATGGTGGATAATTATTCTTAATTGTCATTTAATCATATATTTATTATATTTAGATTATTAAATAATAAAAAAAAATCAAAATAGAAACACTAAATTATTTCGGGTCAGTAAGGAAAGGAAATATGTGTGGAAAAAAACAAATATTGTATATTATTATTAGGAAGAAGAAAAAAACAACAATGTTAGATTTGCAAATATTTTATTTAACATATTATTGACATTTTTTAAAAAATAATTTCAACTAAAATGTGGGATTCGTTTTGCAAGTGATGATAATAAAATTTGTAATTATTATTATTTATTTTTTTTAAAAGTAATATTTTGTTAAACTATTAAAAAAAATACTAGAAATATGCAAAATGGGCCAAGCCCATGAGAGCCCAAACCAGAAATAGGGTTGGTCTTAAGCCCCTTTTGACTTTTTAGGGCTTTGTGGAGTTTGTCCTTCTCTGCTTATAAACCTAATTTAAGCACATCTTCTTCTTCCTCGGTCACCGCGTAATTCAACTGTTTTTCAGAAGCCGAAGTTGCAGGCATCGCTATGGTTCGTCTTCTATCCTCTTGTTTTATTCTTCATAATAATGTCATATGAGGTCTAAGTGAGCGATAATCTTGAGTTTCTGTTTATGTTCATTGTTGCAGGTTAAGTACTCGAGGGAACCCGACAATCCCACCAAGTGTATGTTTCTTGTGGATTTCGATCGACTTCTGTTTGAAGCTCTGCATTTCTTTTGTTTATCTTCTATCGGATTGAATTTTATGGCTTCATTGATATTCTTGCCTTGAACTGACACTTCGTTCTTTCTCTTTTCAGCCTGCAAAGCCAGAGGTTCGGACCTCAGAGTCCACTTTAAGGTAGGTTTAATTCCTCACCATTTCGAGCTTTGATATTTTCTTACTTAGTTTCCATGAATTGTTTTCTACTTCTTTCCGATGTACAAAATGTTTGATTCAGGGTCATATTTCCTTTCCGGCGCAAGTAATTGATTGGATAAGTGATAATATATGTGAGCTTTCGCCTTTTCCAGACCTGAAAAGAAGTGCTGAATCCTTATGTTTTTTGCCACTCGCATTAACCCGACATCGTCTAGCTTTCCATGATATGCTTCTGTGTAACCTGATGATAAAAGCAGGGCTTCTGTTGCCTTATGTGAACAGAGCTCTCGTAAACTTCAGGGAAAATATATGCATTGTTATTGGGTGAACCTCTGTAACCCATAGTGTCAGAAGGTTCAGTAAATGATGCGACATATTTCAGCTTGTATCTTGACTTGCATATTTCTGTACATCATGTTGTTGATCATACTAACGACAATAACATGTTAATCTTTATATTGTAGAACACAAGGGAAACTGCCCATGCCATCAGGAAGTTGCCGCTGGTCAAGGCCAAGAGGTATCTAGAGGATGTACTTGCCCACAAACAGGCCATTCCTTTTCGTCGCTTCTGTGGTGGTGTTGGACGAACTGCCCAAGCAAAGAACAGGCATTCCAATGGCCAAGGGCGCTGGCCTGTCAAATCTGCCAAGTTTATTCTAGATTTGCTTGTGAATGCCGAGAGTAACGCTGAAGTATGTAATAATTCCTGTTTAGTTTCACTCTAAACTGTTGCTCATAAGTTCAGTTTTTTCACTGTTGCTTACAAGTATTATGTTCTTTCAGGTAAAGGGTCTGGATGTTGATTTGCTCCACGTATCTCACATCCAAGTAAACCAAGCTCAGAAGCAAAGACGTCGTACTTACCGTGCTCACGGAAGAATCAACCGTATGTTCTAATTTCAGTTAGCTTATTTTTTTCTCTTGATGTCTGTTTAAACATCCTGCCTGACATTTCCTTGCCCTTTGTTTTCCTTTTGATTGGCAGCATACATGTCTTCTCCTTGCCATATTGAGTTGATTTTGTCTGAGAAAGAAGAGCCTGTTAAGAAGGAGGTAACCAATTAGATTGCCTAATTTACATTTGTGCTGTGAAGGATATAGATAGATTGCTTTCTTATTGTTCATGATTTTACAGCCTGAGACTCAGCTGGCTACTGGCAAATCGAAGAAAGGTCGAGCGATCCGAAGCGGTGCTTCTTCTTGAATCAAAAATACAAATTTTGATGTGGGTTTTACAGTGCAGTTTCTTTTTTGAAGTGAGTTTTACAGTGCAGTTTCTTTTTTGAAGTGAGTTTTACAGTGCAGTCTCACTATATAGAACGAGGTATTATGATTTAGATGCTTTGTGCGACATGTTATACTCGGAACCTCTTCCAGTTCAAGTTGCTATCACATTATGATAGTTCGATTCAATTTTTCATAATTAGATCAGATTGACCCCCCCATGGCATAGTCAGTGGCCACTATTGGTCTCCTTCCGCTAAACTAACAAATAAATAATAGTGACATTAATATAATCAAACTTCCAAAATCCGAGCTCGATAGATTTATCGACTTAAGCATAGTTCAATTTAATTATCAGGTTTGTCCATAGATGGTACACAAAAACACTTAAGATTTTTCGATTTAATTTTGTGTAGCATTCATTATTGAACTATTCTATATTGATAATTAGTTTAAAGAATTTTTATAACAAACTAGAATGTAATTACTATTATACAGGTCAAAATATCTATTTAGACAAAACAGAATTATGGTTAAACTTGTATAATATTATTATATTGTTATAAAAAAAATGTTTTATGTTAATAAATAACACTTGCGGAGTAAATTTACAAATGATTAGAAAGAATATGGATGGGACATTGACCAGAGGAATCTCAGTTTTCGTTATAGATGGAAAAAGAGCATCTAATCAATGTGAAAAACGTTTAGAACATGAAATTTAGCATTAGAATTCTGAAATCGTCAATTTTCTTAGCAAGTTTATTCAGCATGTAAGAGTCGGAGAAGTAAAAGGAAAGTATATACACTGGGGGGTTTATAGATGCTGCTGATGGCTTTGCTCCTAGTTGTTTTCATTCCTCATTGCCCTCAAAATGGGATCATCCTCCTCCGATGAGTCGTCATCTTCGTCTTCCAACTCGTCCAACTCGTTGAGTATCGACTGGTTCACTCTCTTACGAGATTGTCTCCTATGCTTCTTGAGCTCCAACCTCGGTTCTGCTTGCTGAGCACCCATATCTCCAACCTTAATCCTGTTAAGAAAAATTCCTTCCATCACTTTAGTTTTGGATTCGTCTCATATGAGAATCAAGAAGGATTTTAGTTAACCACTCAATATTATATATATCAAGAAAGGCATAAGGTCAGTAGGAAGATTATTGGAGCCATTCACATAAACAAGTTAATAGTTCCTTTCGACAACAACGCCCCAAAAACCGAAGAAGTATCACATATGCTAAATGAATATAAATGGATATAAAACTGCAATCAGAAAATTTTATCAAATGTGATTAATAATCTTTGTTGCACAAAATGAGATCCTCGAAAGTAATTAGGATATCGAACTGATACATGCTTAGAGAAAGCAGCTAAGATGGGGTCTCTACTTCCTTATTACTAGAAAAGTCACAGCAGTATTGCCAAATGATCGAAGGCACATTTCCAAAACATTTGCAGACATTCCCTTTCAACGTTTAGCGTTCTAATTTGTTTAAAATAAATAAATAAATGCTGAAAGGAAATAACATCGCAGATCAATGGATTCTATTTAATGTATTAGCCCTCTCAAGCACAGATCAAAGAAGCAATATTTTAGCGTAATTATTCACAATCTCTAAGGTAAACATACCTTACATCCCCCTCTCTTTTCGTTCCGAATGTTCTCAACTGGAATTCTTCCCTAATCCTGATTTCATCAAGAAGTTGGAAATAGTATTGATATCGCTCCCAATCTCCATTAATAACACAACCCGGTTCGCCAAGATGTAAGCAATCGTTAAAAGAGCATTTAGCAGGTTCACTGGCAAGAAGCTTGTTCCGGATCTGTACAAAGAAGTTAGTTCAACACAAGAAATTCCACAGAAGTTGAAATTTATGCCTGAAATTATAAGCATTGGTAATGATGGTCAACATTGCTGAGTAATGATGTACACCTCAGGGAAGGCTTGGGCAAGCGATTGCTTGGTTATTTTCATCAAACTAGGCTGGTTAAAACCAGGAGTATCTGCAAGATAGCCCCCTCCCATCAACGGTAGGAGAGAAACATGACGGGTAGTATGCTTCCCTCTACCGCTTCTTGTCGAAACTTCTGCAACACGCTGATCCTCAAACCACTTGCTATCTCGAATCTGTGAATAGACCAGAAAAATATACAAACCTTTAGAGCCGAGTGATCAAGAAAGCCCCAGAATTAATGCACTAATCAACAAAAACAACAAAGTTGAAATTGAAAGAATGATTGAACACACGGGATCAAACCAATTATCTCCCTCTACAGCATCAGCAGCACGGTTATTGCTTCTCAGAGCATTGATGAGACTTGATTTCCCAACTCCACTTGGACCCACAATAACTGTAGTTTGATCTCTCAAAATATATGCTAGGGAATCAAGTCCAATCCTGGTTTGAACACTGCAAAAAAGGGGGTCATAGCCCCAGCTGCGCAGTCTGGACTTCCAAGAAACTACTGTCTGCAATATGCCATTCCTAATAACTGTCAGCATGAAGAAAGGAAATGCATGCATGCATAGTTACAAGAAACTTTGAACAATCACTGCTCTCCTAGAAAGATTCAAGCAGGATCCAAAACTAGAGAGTATGCAATATGTCAAGGAAGCAAGAACAAAGTTTATGTACAGAGCAAAGTAGCAAAAATTATAACATAACTGTGGTTGACAATTAAGCAACGGGCTTGTGGGGTATCGGTAGAGTTAAAGACTAGTGAAAACTTACTGATCAAGTAATTTGACTTAGTCAATTGATATTAGTGCCACTCATTTAGGGTAGTGGCTTGTAATTAGGAGGGACCTGACTTAGACACTTAGTGGGGTTGGTAAGAGAGATTGTAAGGTTAGTAGTCTAATCAGTGGATTAGGTCCTACAAATACATGTAAATTTCTCATCTCAATACACAAAATAGAATTGAAGCACTTTTTTCATGCTATTTCTCTATTGTTTCCACTAATTAAGAGAGATTTGTAAGGTTTGTTCTCTTTGTTTTTCGTCGAGTAGTAGGACTAGAGCATGCTTTCATTGAAGCTCGTTTATACCTTCACATTTCCAAATTATGAACAGAAGTTGCTAAATTACCATGGCTACATTGTAGGACCAGAACATGAACTTTGAATCCTCTTTTCACACGATATTAAACCTTCGGAGATTAAGTTGAGTTTCAGGTGTTCAGAAAATCCTTCATGTTCAAAAATCTGTCATTACTCGTATTCATGAGAAAAAGTATTGGTGGATGATGCTAGAGATTTCATATATAGCCTAAGCGACCAAAATAGTTATGATCAGAGAGCTTAGTAAGTATAAGATTCAAACTCTAACCTCTTCATCGACGAGTTCCAATTTATTGAGACCCAGCGTCAGGGGAATTCCAGTAGACTCTGCTTCCACTAGAAACCTTGTAAGTGTAAACGGCTCTAACTTCGGCTGATCTATGGAGAAGAGCACAAGCAAATGGTCCACATTGGCTACCGGAGGATCAAGGATCTCCGAGCTTCTTTGGAAGACATTCTCGATCATTCCCCTGCGGTCCACCCAATCAATGGAACCAACGACCACCTTGTCCCCGACTAACACTCTCCTCTTTATCTTCTTCAGCACCGCCTTCACTACGCAGAGCAACTCAATTCCAAGGCGAGAAGAATCCGAAGAATCGCCTTCTGAGCTTCCAGAAAGCTCCGAATCGTTGTTCGAGCTGACAGAAAGCCGAGAAGGAAGCGACTGAACAATTACGCGCATGAAATTAGCTTGAGCAGCAGCAACGGTGCCGATGGCTTGAGATTCGGAGAGAGGAGGAATATCTTGGGGAGAGAGAACCGGTGCAAGAGACGAATAATTCTTGAAAGTATGTTTAGCTCGGAGTAGATTCTTGCTTGGCGGAGGTTTATTGGAGACATTGTTAGGGTTATGCTGTTTGGCAACGACTGAGAGGCATCGGACGTTGAAGCATCGCCGTAGAACATTTCCGAAGGCCGGGACTGATGCAATGGCAGCGATGGAGGTGGAGTGGTGGCGGAGCATAGAAATGGAAGCAATCGCCATGAAGGTAACCAAATTCAGATATCGACTTCTGAGATTGAACAAAATTCGAAACTAAAACGAATTCACTCCTAGAATAACTCAGACTCAACTCGAAAATGAATATTCAAGACATCTTTATCTTCGTCATCGTTGAATCTAGAGCAAATATATCTTCCACCGGAGAAGATGAAGGCATTTAGGTGAGAATCCGACGGTCGAACCTTCCATACCAAAGCGGAGCCAATTGTCGTTCCCGTCCAGAACTACTTGTCGTATGACTAAAATGGGCCATACAGGGTCAAGCGCAGCCCATTTAACACATTTGAATGATGAGCTAGGCCCATTTATTTGTGGGCTCTCTTTAGTCTTTCTTATAGAGGCCCAACCCCGTTTTTGCCTAGAAGGAGTTCTTGAATTTTTTATTATTTATTCGAAATCTTTTTAAATTCACAAACGTATTAAAAATTTAAGTCTTATTTTCCTTAATATATATATATATATATATATATATATATCAATTAAAATTAAAAAAAAAAGGTAAAATATAGTTTAAATATAAAATTTAAAAGTTTATAAATGTATTAGTCACACAATGAGATACATCTAAATATATTTAAACGCGTGATTTAATTTTAAAATTATTATCTCTACCACTCAACCCGTCTTCTTTCTAAAAATATATATATTCTTACGAATTACTTTGATTAATAAAGTTGGGTTATCTAGTAAAAAATAGTTGAAAATAATTTTAAAAATAAAAAAAAGAATAATAATAATTGGAAGAATATAAGGTGACTAGACTATGGTTGGTGATGGGTTGCTTAAAAAAAAGAGACGCCACTTTGAAGTGAGGTGCGGAAGGTTGGGCCTCATCGCTGTTTATGCACTTTTGACCATTCCAATATCAACGACTGTACCCTCTCGGAACCCGTGGAGCCACCTTTTTTGTGTCTTAAGCCACAGCCATATTTGAAATTAACAACATATAAAACTATTTTAAATAACGTTCTCCTCATTCTTTTTTTACATTTTAAAATGTTTTAATCACTTATTCATCCATCCATACGTATAACTATAAATATTGGTTTGACTTTTCATAATTTAGAAGTCAACTAATTTAATAATTTTGATCGACTTATCTATTTCTGAATGAAAACGTGCCCTCGAATTAATCCATTAACCAAACACTCTCCGGCCTATCAAAAATTTCCAAATTAAATTTCATATTTTTTTTTAAATTTCAAAATTCTCTATCCTCTTTTAAATTTTTGTGATTTTCATGTTAAATATATTATACCATAATATTCAAAAAATAAAATAATTTAATCTCGTAATTATTAAAAATGTTTTCTCCTCTAAATAAAGTGTTCCCACTCCTATTTTTCAAAAAAAGAAAAAAAATCGAAAAATTAATATTTTTTTTAATTTGAGACATCCCTTCTATTTATTTAATTATGACCTAATCGAATTTAGTTTAATTTGAAAATTTTATAATTAAAAGGATTGAGGTGGATCCAAATCGATAGCTTATCTAAACCCCCACAAGCATATCCTTAAAGGTCAACTTTATTTATTTAATTTTTTAAGTGACAAATAAAACATAAAAAATGAAAAAAGGGATAGACTAAGCAATTGGGTCTCGAAATCTACCGATAAGCAATTCCGATAGTCCATATCGAAAACTTGTATTTTTTTTTTCTTCAATAAAATCACTTTATTTTTTTATTCGGATTGTTCAAGTCCAATCAACGCCCGTAGGCATTTAAATAGATTAAGGATTTAAATTTTAATATTTTTTAAATTATATTATAAAAAATACATCTCATTTATATTAACTTTGAAATAACTCGTTCATTTTTTACTTTAAAAATAATTTAACAAAAATGGATGATATTAATATATGGATAAACAAAATAGAAGCGACGTGTCCAAATAATGGAAAATAAGACGTCCACAATGACGTGGAAGAGTGGGAATGGAGGTGAAGCGCTCGTCTCTATCGAAGGAATGGGGTCTTAAAAAAAGCCCTAGCGAGTTCCATCAATGGCGGTCGCTACAATTTGGCCGCTCGAACGGGGCCCTCCACCTTCGTCATTCCACAATCCACGCCATACGCCGTCAATTTCAACTCAGCCCCCTCCAATTTTGATTTGACCGTCGCTCCTTCCTCTCACGAGGACCACTACGCTCACCAGCGCCGATCGCCATCGAATCTGACCTCCATTTGCGTCGACGTCGCTGCTGTCTTCTTCCGATTATGAACAGAAATCGACGCTCTCTTTTTTCCCCTCCACTCGTAATTCTTCGCCAAAAGCAGAAGAAAATCCGAGGTCCAAGGTTCACGGAATTGCAGCAAACCGAGGAAAGTGAAATCCAGGTAGAGTTTAATTGTTGTTGTTCTAATTCCACAAGGTTTTTTTTTTTTTTGTGGTAATTCCTCTGAATAATATTTGTAACGAGCATTGCCAACCAAAATCGCTCGTCTCTGTCATTTGGAATCCAAATGCAACGCAATCCATGCGAATCAAGAGTCCAGCTTAAGCCACGTTTACTCGACCTAAAATTTAATATCTCCAGAGATATCTTCCCAAGAAAAAATTAATTTGTTTATTTTCATTTATTTAAGGTTATATTTAGAAGTTAATTATGATAAAATAATATAAGTAACGATTTAAAAAAAATTATTAAATAAAACTTAAATTATCCAATTAGATTGGATGGAAGAATAGAATTATTTAAAATGGAATGAAATTAAAAGATTAGAATTAAAGATGGAAAAGTGTTACCTAATAAAGTAGGTAAAATGAATTAAGGAGGATTGTTTGGATAAAATTAGTATATTTTTAAGGAAGAAAGTCCAATTTGGGAGGTAGGTATAAATCGTTGAAGCCATAAATAAAGTGATTATTTGTCTAATTAAGTAATTATTGCCCAACTTGCCGTCCCTCCTGTTATTTTCTTCATTTCCTTTTTGACTTTTTCCCCCATTATGAATGACATTTGTCGATATTGAGTTAGGGGCAATTTTGTAATGTTACCCTCCAATTATTGAAGGAAATAAAACTATATATATATATATGCCCCTCTATTTCCATTTGAGGGAAATTCTTGAAATTGGTATTTTAATTATTTTATAACCTAATGTTTTTCTTCTCGAATAATTATTTAATTGAAGCCCTAACGAAAATTTTTATTGATTTAAGATTTTCTAAAATTCAAATGGTAAAATTTACACGATCAACAAAATATACCATATAAATTCACTTATTTTTAAAAACGTTTTATTAATTTTCAAAGACTTTTTGGGCAATATTCCGACTTAGCAATACTAAAATAAAGTTATTGATGTGCGAATAATAACTAAATAAGGGCACATGGTAAATTCATTAAAAAATTAATAAAAATAATTTAAATATGGTAAAGATGAGGTGGACAAAATGAGTATTTTTAAAAAAAATTATTTTGGTACACATATTTGTATATTAATGTGGTAAAATCAATATAAAAAATATAGAAATTTATATTTTGAAAATTAATAAAACTAAAATATTTTTATGATTAAATTAAATAAAAAATTCCGTGGGATTAATTTTGTTTGGAAAAAATGAGGCGATTTTTGAATCTTAATATAATAATATTATAGATTTATGTGGAAATTGTATTGATTATTTTACTAATTTAATTTTTGCTTAGTTGTGAAAATTGCTTGTGGTTTGCGAAATTACTAAATTAATCTCATGATCAAAGAAAGCTTAGCTGAAGATTAAGGTTAAAAATAACATAATAAAATTAGAAACAGGTAATTAACTAATTAATTAAATTGTTTTATTTCGCTAATTCCTTAATTCGGGGGAACACAAAAGACGACAATTATCGTCTCCTTCGTGTCTTGGCCAGCAATTGCGCGGAAAATCTCATTCTGACGTGGTTCGGTTCTGTCAGTTTTATCCTCTTCTTTTTTTTTTTCATTCCTATTTTTGGTTTTCTATAAATCCTCTTCAATCTCAGCCCCACCCTAGAGACCAACCACATCTTCTTCATTTTTTTCAAATCTCTCAACAACCCTCTTTGCTGCTCCTGCTGCTGCTGCCGCCTCTCTGGTAATCTTTTCTTTCTGATCTTGAATCTACTGTATTGATTTATGCTTTTTTTTTTCCTCTTTCGATTCCGGCTTGTGTTTGCTGCAGATCTAGTGGCTTTTTCTTTTATTTTCTGTCTTAGATCAGTTTACTTCACTGGATCTTTGTATCCATGGAGTTTGGATTTGTGTGGTTCTTGTTCGTAATTTTGTGGAGGCGAGGGGTGAAGTGGCTTGTTTTTGTACTTCGTAGCTGTGCAGCTTGTTAAATCCTATGCAATGCTGTGTTGTTGTGTTTATGCGGCTGTTTATGCTTTGCCATTGTTTTGCTTGCTCTAGATTCTGCTGTTCATTGATTTTTTAGGGTCTTGAATTGTCGGCTCAATTTCTGAGTTCAGTGTTCATGTATCTATATCGTTTCTGATGGTTGTGATTTTGATGCGATGGAAGTTTTGTTGGTCTTTGAGAACGAACAGCTTAACTTTTCCTGGTTCATCTTGTTTTTCGCGATTCTATAATGTTGAGGGATTCTTTTACTTTTATTCAATTCTTGAGTTCAGTGTCTGTGTAGAAGATTAATTGATTCCAGATCCGGTTGAAGAGCTTTTGTCTTGTACCCTCTTGAAGGGGACTTTTGGATCCAACTTGTTTGGCTGCTTTGCTTGTATTTTCCACCATATCTCTGCTACGCTCGGCTTCTATCTGCTTCATTATGAAGAAGCTGCTGAGATATATACCGTCACTTTGTTCGGCATCGCCATTCTCACTCTTCGATTACTGAATAAGAAAACATGTCAAACCCAATACTCGGAGTTGACGAGTCTTTTTGGCCCATGCATGTGTCGCTTGTTTGTGCATTTTTTTTTTCTTTTTTTTTTTTTGCTTCTCCTTCTACCTCTGTTGAAACCACCCCCTTTGGGGCCCAGCGTCCTTACTTGCACACCGTCTTGTGTCTACCCCATTCGGGGAACAGCGAGAAGGGCGGCACATCGTCTGGTGATTGGCTCTGATACCATATATACCATATATATCTTCTAGCGGTGGATCTGGGTCGTTACAGTTGAAAGATAAGCTCAAATGATATGAACTCGTTTTGGTTTTATATCCTTTTCATATCATTTTAAGCTTGGAACTTATAATTCTTGTGGACTTAAAAGTAATAATCAATCGATTTGTATTTGCCTTTGATATTAAGCGTCTAATCTTTATGACTTTCCATATTTCAGACTTTCAGTTTCTCTCTATTTTCAAATGGAAGTCATGGGGGGCTAACTTGGCGAGTTCTATGGCATTGACTGGTATGTTTTTCTTTCAAATCTGACACTGTGCATGCATGCTCATCAGCTGTCACTTTCACGAGAACTTGGGTTATAAGCTTTATGCTGCACGATGTGTAGGTATTTTGGCAATGCATATAGAAAGAGGGAACTCTATAAAGTTGCAGAGCATCACTCATACTGCCATATCTAGTAAATATAAGCGTGAGTTTTCTGGCATGGACTTTGAATCAGATTGGACAAGACACAGAAAGTCCTCTGCATTTGCTGCTCAAGTGATCCGTTCTGCAACTTCCTTTATGCCTTGGTCTTGCAGAATCCCAATTAGTAAAGGATATCACGAATTTCTTTAATTGAACTCAATCAAGTTATTGGACTGTTTGAGCAATACTGTTGAAGAAGAACAGTCGTCGTTGTACATGATTTAATTGGTTACTTTATTTGTATAATGCCTGGATTCATTTCTGGAAAGAAGAGGTTCACAGAAATAAACATGTGCATCATCAACACTGTTAAAAAGAATTCAGTTAGTCATTCGAAAAGCGATACCAGATCCTCTCAGTTTGATTATGAGTCTGACAAGTCTCTCTTTCCTGGTTTGCCCGATGATGTCGCAAAACTGTGCCTTGCCCTGGTTCCACGTTCTAGCCACCCATCTATGGCTGGTGTCTGCAAGAATTGGAGGTCATTCATTAAAGGCAAGGATTTCTTAACCGAGAGGAAATTAGCTGGTGCTGTTGAGGAGTGGCTGTACTTCTTAACTATGGATACTGAAAGGAAGGAGTGCCACTGGGAAGTATTTGATTGTGTAGAACACAAATTCCGAATTCTTCCCCCGATGCCTGGGGCAGTGAAGGCTGGTTTTGAAGTGGTGGTTTTGAACGGGAAGCTTCTTGTCATAGCTGGTTATTCGATTGCTGACGGGACTGATTCTGTATCATCTGACGTTTATCAATATGATTCTTGCCTTAACAGGTCTGTTATCCATGTTAACCTTAGAAACATATATTCCAAGAAGTTGCTTTTATACTCATTATGATTAACGTTATTCAATTATTTTTTATTTTTATAATTATATACAATGATTTTTCTTGATATAAAAAAAAAAGAATTTGAAATCTCGCTGCTATTAATTTCAACACACTCCATGTTTATGGTAGTGTTGACTGTTAAGAAGGCGCTTCTTTATTTGTAGTTATAGTGGATTCAGCTTCTGTTTATGATTGCTTTTTAATCTCTGCTTGCTACGGGGAAAGTAGAGTTGGGTTTTCACTAGTTAGTCATGTGACTTCTTCAAACATGGATGCAGGTGGAGCAAATTAGCCAATTTGAACGTAGCTCGACATGATTTTGGTTGTGCTGCTGTTGATGGAATTGTCTATGTGGTTGGAGGCTATGGGATAGAAGGCGACAATCTATCGAGTGCTGAGGTGTATGACCCCGAAACTGACAAGTGGACTCTAATCGAAAGCCTCCGCCGCCCTCGATCAGGCTGTTTTGCATGTGGATTTGACGGTAAGCTGTACGTCATGGGTGGAAGGTCGAGCTTCACCATTGGAAATTCGAGGTTCGTCGATGTGTACAATCCCAAGAGACATAGTTGGTACGAGATGAAGAATGGTTGTGTAATGGTCACTGCTCATGCTGTAGTAGGTAAGAAACTCTTCTGTATGGAATGGAAGAACCAACGAAAGCTATCTATGTTCAATCCAGAGGATAATTCATGGAAGATGGTACCAGTTCCATTAACTGGTAGCTCTAGCATTGGATTTCGGTTTGGCATATTGGACGGGAAGCTGTTGCTCTTCTCTTTGAAGAACGAACCCGAATACCGTACTTTGTTGTACGATCCAAATGCAGCTCCGGGTTCGGAATGGAAGACCTCAGACATAAAACCATCTGGCTTGTGCTTGTGCAGTGTGACCATCAAGGTTTGACAATGGAAGTGTCATTTTAGAGTGAAAGTCACTTTTTATCCAGTTTGACTCGTTTGTTATCTGATTCTAATTCATCCTTCATTTCTATTATCTGACAATGAATGATTTGGTCAATCATTTAAAACATCATTTTTATCTTAATGATCTAGTGGAGAATCAATCCTTTGATGATGTTTGTTTTCAAACAAGCCTGCAATCCAGATAGATAGAAACTCATGAAGCAATCTTTACATTGCTTCAACTTGCTGCTGCTACTCATAGAAAATGTAGATTGCTGATCAAATCATGTCAAGTGAAGTCGAAGGTGTCAGCTGAACCCGGTAATCGTCTGGTCGGTTGCGGGCTATGCAAGCCTTTGAAGTTCGAACTTAGAACCTTCTGTTTGAGAAGATTGATGTGTGGTATGATATCCAACCCCTACTGCAGGGAATTGAGTTTTTAGAAGCTAATCCCATGTTAAGAAGATGCATGAAAGATTGAAATTTGTACATAATATGTAAATATGGTATCTGGTGAATGATTAACTTTTCCGTGACCAAAAATTTGAATCTCTTACCTCTACTCAAATAAGCCTTAAATATCAAATCCTATGTTAATTTTTGTGTGTGTGTGTGTGTGGATACTGTATTATAACCTTTACCAACACAAAGGTGTATACACAGATTTAACTCATAAATCTATTTACACTGACCTGCCGCCTATGTGGAGGGAGGTTATACAGCAGTCCATGAAAAAGATGGCCAAAACTATTCCTGCTTGATTTTTCCAGTAAAGAGAACTACGATGACAAATAACGTTACAGAAACAACACCCATTTCTATTTTTAAAGCTCGATCTCTCCCCCGGATGAACTATATAGTCAAGAGAAACCATGAACTAGAATAACGAGAAAGAGCCATGAGATCCATTCTGGTTCACTTTCACCTCCAATTCACTACCTATATTCAAACCAGCATTGCTAGAATCAACGGTGTAGATAAAATGTCTACTACAACACTCCATTTCAATGGCTCTTTGAACTTCAAGTCCTTTACTTAAAGGCCGAAGTTAATGTAGATCAACATGCTATTATACAACCATCAGACCAGAGATTCAAGGATTGTTGGAAATAGGCCATGAAAATGAGATGCGGCGAAGGAAAGGGAGCTGTGATTCGAGATGAAGCACATACTAAAGTTGGAGAAAAGAGATTGCAAAAACCAGTCGAAGCAGCGAGAAGCCGCTTCGACACAAATGGAAATACAGCTTAAGTCTTCAAAATCAAGCAGAAACTTGGTATTTTTGAACTTTGGCTCGATCCCCCTCTATTTTCAACTCAACAACTATCTAGACTGCTGCCTACCTCAAGTGATAGAACATCAGTGGTATGTGTCTTAAGTAGAAGTATAATGCACAAAAGAAAACAAAACTCTTTTGTTTTCTGATGAGAAATGTAACACAACAATGATCTTCCTCTTTGGCAGTTTTGAGGATGCATAGCAAGCAAAACAACTTGTAATGGAATGCTCGTGTATTTATAAATGGATTTAAATAGCTTTCAACCATGTCACTACAGAAATCTAACTTCAAAGACCCTCTTACTAAAATAAAGACTGTAAGGCACACACATGCTAAATAAACCACAAAACAGGGAATATAGGCATAGCTCAGAAGAAAATTATTGAGACTCCCATTGAGAAGCACCCCACAGCTACCCAAGGACTCAAACGTTCACCTGATTCACAAACAGAACATCACCCCGTCAGATAATAATGACTGTTATTCTTGCCAAATGATTGTGCATATAAATACGAATATGAACAAGAGAAATCTAAAAGGCCGAAAAGCTACTGAGTTTTTTTTAATAATAAAGAAGCTAAATACTTTTTTTGGGTGCAATACATCAGAAATTCAGTCTCATTAAGAGAGACGAATGCTGGAAGAACCAAAGAGAAAAGAAGAAAGAAAGAGTTAAGATGTTCTACAGTTTTATGAATAAATTGTTCCAGAAAAATATTTTCATGCAATAGAGCAATTGTGCAAATTTAACCAAGAATCCTACCTATTCTAGCTGCTTTCCAAAAGAAGCCACGGAACCTGTCAGATGAACAACTCGATTAAAAAAGATATGGAATTTATAATGTAATCGTATTTCGAACATAAGAGGTAGTGATTTCGCACACCAAGAACATCAATGTCGGTGATCAATAGCACCACCATGATAATAAATCAATCAACACCTAACATATTGTATAGGAAATTCAATTTTACGAGGTAAAGGAAAGAATGGTGGTCTCTCCAAGCATCAAATTAGTTCCAATTACGTTAGAGAGAAGGAAAAGAAAGTAGCAACATGAAATGAAAACCAATTAGCCAACATGCACGAAACCTGATTATTTAAATTTATCTCAATGCAGTATACAGCATAAGAGAAATGAAGAAATTACCCATTTCTCTGTTCAAGAATAGCAGGAAACTGCATCTTCACATAGGTACAGGTACAAATTCCCAGTAGGATTACTGTCAGAAACGAATGAAAATTGAACAAAGCCGACTGAAAAACAAACATCGACCATGTCAGCGATTAATCGCTCCTAGTTATCCAAGCTATGACTATTTTCATAGTTCGCACACCAAAGACCAGGGTCCTTTACCATTTTCAAAATGCCAGGTATTAATCACGCTAACAATCTTCACTATTCAATTCAACCTAGAAATAGGATAAAATAAGTTAGGAACGGACTGAAATGAAGTTCAATACACACATCCATATTATTCATGATTGACGACAAACTCTCTTGGTAATTCGAAAACTCCACAGTAAATAAATTAGGCTCTTCGATTTTTACAGAAATACACCATTTTGAAGTTCCATTAAGATTTTGGGCACCACAAAGCTAAACTAAACAATCTCTGTGAGAAACTGTCACGAAATGTAGTTCCTCATAGATATTGAAAGCTGAAGGAGAAAACCTTGAATTCAATTTACGAATCGGGAATGGGTAACAATGTTAAAACATGAACCTTCTCCAACAAAGATCCGAATCTCTCGATATCCAAGAAACAATTGGTTCGAACCCATTAATCTAAAAGCCTAAATCCAACTAAATCTTAAACGGCGAATCCAATAACATTGAAAACACAAATTCAAACAAATCACAGAGTACTTACAGAAAGTACAGAAATTGCTATTAAGAAAAGAAACAGCGGGTCTGATACAAGCCGCAGAGATTCTCAGATCGTAGTCCTTCGGAAACGAATGAACGGGAGGAAAGGAACTTGTTGACCTCCCAACAGCCAAAGGTTTGAAGAGCGGCGAGCACAAGCGCTTCTGGGACAGATCTTTCCTCCGGTTGTCAATGAAATGACGAAGGATTACGCAGTTCAGTCGAGTTCCAGCGAATCGGCCATTGCTTTATAGGAACTTTATACTTTTTACAGTTACCAAATGAATACTTGGTGCGAGGGGATTTTTAAAGTCATTCCAAATATTTTTAATGTGATTCTTAATAGGTTAAATAATATTTGAAAAAAGAAAAAAAAAGTTAAAAATTAATATTTTACCAATTCATAAAAACCTAATTAAAAATTAATTCTTTATTTAATTTGACGCGGTGAAACCTAGTCTTGAATATATATTTAATAGTTTTCCTGCATAACTAAATTTTATCTTCTACTCTTTAAAATTTTGAAAATAAAAAAAATAAATAAAAGTACTGTAATAATTTTTTTCTATGACACATTGAGACCAAAATGAATAAAAATAGAAAGTTTAATGTAATAATCAAGGCAATATTTACCACTCCATTTGTAGTTTTTGACATTTTTTTTTAAAGAAAATGTTTATTTAAATTTCAAAAAAAAATTAAAATTTTATTTTTCTCTTGTAAAAATTAACAATCTTGCCCATCTTCCATCACAAGTCCATGATTATTTTGCAAAAAGAATTAAACATATAAGGTGAAAAAATGGCCCATATGACTAACCTGAAGGGAACAAGAAGCATGGTAATAAGGTAGTCTAACGGAGAAATGGATTAAAAATTTAGGAAACATAGACACAATGTCCTCCAAGAAGCCATAGTTCTAGTAACATGACAGAAAGACTAGAATCAAACTTTTTAAGGATCTGTAAAGTTTACACCTGGAGCATCTCTTTAGAATCAGCTTCCCCCTTATAGCACAAATGAACAGGGAGAAAGCGTCTTAACCTGCTTATATGTCTGTATGGGATTAATTATCAATCTCAGTTTTCAGCCATTTCCTGATCCACTGTGGTTGGCGTCACTGGGTAGTAGTTGTAATGAAGTTCTCCTACATCATCGCCAGATAGCTTTTTCCATCCATTTGGTCCCACATAATAAACTGATCAATGACATTCAAATCACGAGTGAAACCAGAGAATTTAAGTATTACAAACACGAGGAAACATTTAGACAGAAGGATACCGCTAGCAACTCCACCACTCGCTCCATCTCGGAAAGTTGCGTGATAAATAGCTCGTCTAGCAAGTTCGGCAGCTTCTTCAACAGACAAGTCATAACGATATCTGCTTGGTAACACCAACAAAGTGTTCAAGAAGTTACATAAATCAACGTAGATGAAAAGATGGACAATGGTTTTATAATGAAGGGGAAAAAAAGGAAAGAGGAAAGAATATTGAATGATATCTGTACCAACACCATCACAGGTATTGCGAAGGGTGCATTAACTCGACAGAAGGCAAAAATTGTGCATTCAAGATCAAGAAATCTAATCATAATTACAAGCTGGGATGTACCTTTTAAACTAATTCTAAAAGGGGGGTGGGTTTTGCTGAGTTTCCTTTTACATGGAGAGATATTGCGGAGAAAGGGTGTTGAATTCATTCGCTAGTTAGTTTAATCAGGGAGGTCAAAGTTTTTTCTGTTTTATTTTTTTGCATTATCTACCAAAAGGGCAAATGCAACCGTCCAAGCCCACAACTAACAGATATTGTCCTTTTTGGACTTTCCCCCTTTCAAGCTTCCCCTCAAGGTTTTAAAACGCGTCTGTTAGGGAGAGGTTTCTACACCCTTATATAAAATGCTTCGTTGTTCTCTCCAACTGATGTGGGATCTCACAATCCACCCCCTTGGCTGCACGATGCCTGATTTTGATACCATTTGTAACAGCCCAAGTCCACCGCTAGGAGATATTGTCCTCTTTGGACTTTTCCTTTCGAACTTCCCTCAAAGTTTTAAAACGCGTCTGTTCGGGAGAGGTTTCCACACCCTTGTATGGAGTGCTTCGTTCCCCCCTCCAATCGATGTGGGATCTCACAATCCACCCCCTTGGGCGCAAAACATCCTCGCTGACACACCGTCCAATGCCTGGCTCTGATACCATTTGTAACAGCCCATGCCCACCGCTAGGAGATATTGTCCTCTTTGGACTTTTCCTTTCGAACTTCCCTTAAAGTTTTAAAACGCGTCTGTTAGGGAGAGGTTTCCACACCCTTGTATGGAGTGCTTCGTTCCCCCCTCCAACCGATGTGGGATCTCACAATCCACCCCTTTGGGCGCAAAACAT